TTAGCAATACGTTGCATAATGCACTATTGGATTTTGCATTTACGTTGATCTTGTGGGGCCTAATTTTGGTAGTTCGCCTCGGGCCCCAAAAATCACAGGACCGGCCCTGATTGCATCCTCCAACCCTCCTTCCCAACATAAGAACGGACGGCTAATGCATTCTGCTAATTGAAAGGGTCAGTCTGTCATCTGTGGTCATATTTTACATGAGATACATATTATAAATCTGATCATATTAAACCACAATGTGCTACATGGAGTTAGAAGTTCAGAAATGATCACCTTTTTTCTGTTAAAGATATATGTGCATTAATTCAATATCTAAGATTCATAATTCGTGCTGATTTGTCACTATCAATTACTAGGAGAACAAAGATTGTTTTGGAGAGTTGTGTAAGAAATGAACACTATAGTACGCTCTTTTGATGGTAAAAGTTAGCAACAAGGAGTGAAAAGAAACTGTATTTACCAAGGCAGAACATACTATGAATGAACTTGTGTTTCTGCTCACTAGCATATGTACTCTTCAAACAAGAGTCGAGAATCATTTAAAATTTGAAGATGACGTTTAGTATTGCAAAACATCTCAAGCAGTTCATAAAAAGCTAGCACAGAATTTGTACTAAGTTCAACATCCTGTCAGATTTCATAGGTAATGTGTTTCATGAAAAATAGCTAGTGATCGCATAGTTTTATTAATTAAGAAACTGTGTGATAACATTTGTCATTTGATGCTTTAATCGCTTATAAGTAGAAATTAGTCAAATGTAAATCTTAAGAAAGTGCTACTTAACTAATTAATGAGCTATTAAAATAGAATGTTTTTAAATTGAATACATGTGATTATAAAGAGATCAATGTTGAAGAAGATGGGCAAGTTTATCATGTCCTTTTTTACACAACTTAAAAAAACAACGTATTTACATGTTGAAAAATGTAAGCCATATTCAAATCTTGCACGGATTTGGTGCTTTAAATCTGGAAAATCCCAGCAGAGGTCATTGTAGGCTGAGACTGGAAATGAGGCTTCCGTGGTTTAAACAAGGGATCTTGCAAAATCCCCATCGAGGACTCATTTGCCTCACGCATATATCTAGAAACTATGTCCAAAGACTCTAGCCTTTTTCTCAGGTCTTCGCGCTGCAATCTCAATATTCTGTTCTCTGATTCAGTGCTCTCGTAAAGTGGTGTAATTTCGTTGATCTTATGAATCATTTCACTGTGTTTGTTCATGAAATACATGATCTGATCGTTCAGGTCTTTAACATGCTGCTCCCGCTTCATCCTTGATCGTTTAGCTGATTCACGGTTTGAGATCATTCTCTTCCTCTTCTTTTCATCTATCATATCTTCAGAACTAGAGTTACTAAACTTATTCCTTGGCGACATTTTCCCTACAATTATTCTATTTTAAAGAAATATTAGAATTTGTAAAACTTTCGTGCCTATGAATCACAACACACTAGAGACTCAAGAAAAAACGTAGAACCAATACAGAAAAACAACAGAGAATGATTGTGCAAGTCTAATTCTATGTAGAAAGATAATTATACTCATATCATGACTAAAACATGCATATATGAGAAATTAAGATGAGTTGAAGAAAGATGAAGGGTTTTGAGAATTATCCATTGCAATATATATAAAGATTTTGAGAAGTCTAAAAGATAAAGGAATCTTCATTTGGGTGTGACTGGTAAGAATTGGTGGGCAGATATGGATATTTAGTTCATGCAATACTATATAAACTTGGATAAACTTTTCAACAAAAGCAAAACCACTTGTGTCATTCTTGACTGGAGAAAGATAATGGTTTCATTATTCTCTTACTTTTGTGTTTATTAGTTACACGTGCCTACAATGTTTCAACTACACATGTTGACGTGTCATAAAGCTTAGTTTGTTAAGTTTTGGGGTATATGAGAGATGATGCTCTGAACGGTGTAAGATCATACTCGACTATATATACAAGTTCAAGTTTAGGCGAGAGACTAAAAAGAGAAAGTAAAGGTAACAAACAAGATTAGATCTAATATTGTAAAGATATTCTTTTTTGTCATTCAATTAAGCATTTATACAATTTGGCAACCACAGATTCAAAAGTAGTATTCCACTTAAAGTTGCATTGTCTCACTAATATTTATTTATTTTTCTTCTTGCCGTATATGCCTACACATCAATTATCAAAATATCAATGGTTCTTAATTTTCTTTTTTCATTGAATATGGTCCTACATGCAAGTTTGGATCACTACTTGTTGACCTAATGCTTTTCCCATGTTCTTCTGTTTTTCCCTCCTCGATATTATCCATCTGTTGAGAACCGCATTAAAGCAAAAAGTTTAACTTACAAAATAATTGATTAGTAGATTTTCCAATTGTTAGAGGACTTTTGTTACTTAACTCTAGCAAACCAAGCAAACTCTTTAATCTAAACGACAAAGCACTATGAAATCTAATAAATTAGCTCTAACCAATATAATCAAGCAGGGTGTTTGATGGACTTTCTTGGCCTAACTAAACTGATTAAAATAGAATATTTGTTTATTGTACCTATATCAGAAAGCAACACTTTTGTATTCAGACTGCATGCATATATTATTCAGCACTTTGAAAATATTCAAGAAAAATATTATCTTTTGGACGTTGATTTAATTATTATTGGGTGGCCGCAATTCAATTTTATGAACAAGAAGAAGAAGATGATGATGATGATGATTTACTATATTATATTGTTGGCTGCTATTGTCTTTTAATCTGTTGGTTAAAGATCAATTTGAATTGATTGGCTCAAATGCTATGCTCTGAAGTAGGATTGAGGCGCACAAGCCAATGTTACAATGAACTTGCACTTTGCCCATGGATTCGAAAATATGTTGATAGTAGTAGCAGATTGATTGAAACAAATGAATTGCTTGTTTAAGTGGTTTAAAATCTTTATGCTGATGAACAGAATCGAATCTCTTTCAGGCATCGTCTTTCCTCCGAATATGTTGATAGTAATAGGAACGGGAAATGATAGAATAACTCGATGTCCATTGTCGACTGGCCAGTCTATTAGGAATTATATATATTGCCACTTATCAAAAAGAAATGTCAAATTGCTCCCAACATCGAATCTTCGATCATTACTTGAGAATTCAAAGCCTCATCTGTAGGCACAAGATGCCCCGCATTCATAGCCACGACAAGGCTCATATTTTCCCATTTCTGCACATAGCCAGCTAGCTGCCTACCAACTCTCCATACTTTCCTCTCCGCCTCCAAAAACTTCTCTATTCCTATCCATTTCATCTTCTTCATCCAAGCCTCGGTCGACACCACGCCATCTTTCAAATCACATTGTCCATGATAGAGCAAAATTTTCGTATTCTTAACCAACAACGCCAACATATACCTCACACTCTTCATCGCATCATCATGCAACGCTGCACCCACCACGTCACTGCGCACCTTGTAAACCATGTTTCCATCTACTCCAAATGCCTTTTTTGCTTCCACAGTGTCAAAAATACTCCCACTAAATCATCTTGGTAAGGTGTTAACCTTCTGAAGTCATATAAAGTGGCTAAACCAGACATGTTTGCCACTGTGTTCAAGACTAGTTCTTGCACTTGCTGCCTCACTCCAATTACCGTTTCTAGTCAATCCAACAGCATCAGATTGAAGTTTCTCCAAAAGGGTCTTTTGCTTTTCATTGATCAGACCTATATCGTAAGCATTTATAGCAGGAGTAGCCACTTGAATCCCTGGATCAGTCAATCCATTTCCTATAGCAACACCACCCAAATTCACCCCTCTCCAACCGCAACTGGGCACTCTTCGTTAGTATATAATATCCAAGTGCTGGAAGATATTTTCCAGCATAACTCTCACCAGTTATATAAATTGGCCTGGTTTTGAACAATTTGTCCCAAGGCAACAAATTTCTTAATTGTAATAATAAGGTGCTTAGCAACGTCATGTTGGTTTCTTGGAATTTCTTGAGGCGAAGCAGCTAAACTAAATTCAGTTCAATATGACTATCAAGAAAAAAGCAAGCCAATGATTCAATTCCAAGAACCTTTATTGGCTTCAAGTGAGAGCTGTGGAGACGCGCCATGGGCCGAGCTCGTATAAGTTGGCTAGCCTAAAGGAGCAGCCAGGGCAACCACCTTGGAGCCGAATGACGATTGGTAATTGGGAGAGTGGTGTCTTCTGATAGGAATTTTGGGATTCATAAAATGCGTCGAAAATGGCAGAACCAGAGGCGAATTCACTGAAAGGTAGCCTGATTTGGTGACCGGTGGGGTGGGCCTCTTTGGCATAGGAAGCGGGGGCGGCAGACTGGCGGTGTGGAGGGGAGGGAGTGGAAGACGATAGTGAGGAAGAGGAGTTTAAGGAATGGTTTTAGAGATTCCATTAGTTAGGCTCTGTTTTTCGAGCCTTTGACATGTCTCTACCTGCGCTCCTCTCCTCAGAAATAACCTCGCCTTTATTAGATTCCTTCAATGATTTGTTGTCGTTAACAATGGATTCCAATAAACAAGGTTTAAACTTTAATCACATCTGCAATTAAAAGTGAAAAATAATTGTCCGGTAATGGCCACAGCAACCAAGGGAAGAAACAAAATGTACGCAATTGTAATGTGTATGCACAGCGAAAATTATTTGCATTGATCACCCAGTAAAAATAACATAGAAGTCTCTGTTTAACCATTAACACCGTTACTCACTTTCACTCTTCAATACCAAGAAAAAAATTAACGCCTCAACAATTACTCCCTTAAAATATTATACTAAAATATACAGATCTTAAATACACAAACATTTGAAAGCAAAATTTGGCCTAAATGTTCCTCAACCTCTCTTGGTCACACAAAATTGTCTAATAAAGAAACAATATCTATACAGAATACCAGAGAGTTCACATTAACTATAGTTATTGAATGTTTTACAGACAATTACTCCGCCTAAAATGGCAGGAAAACTAAATTAGGGAAGCCTACAGGTAATTCTCTGCATTGCTACAGCGCTTTACAGTATCCTTCCAGTATCAAGGGGTATTCATTTGAAACACCCCTCCGCATCCTTGCCCATTCCTTTTGGTCAAGCTTTCTACTGAAAGTTGAGATAATCATGGTCAATGCTTACACAGCAGAAGTGCTAGCTAGTGAATTACACAGATGCCGTTCCAGAAATAACTCTCAGGATCCATTCACAACCATTTCCGGTGAGGACTTGGGTGGTAGCAATGAACAGTCATCAACCCTCTGCCTATTATCTGGGTAATCATGCAAGCTATCAGAAAAGCTTCTAGGAGAAGCAGCTTCATCTTTTGCATGGGTTTCTGTATCTGTATTTCTATTATCATCAGACGACCTTATAGATCCCTTCACATCGCAATTTCGTTCGATAGTGTTCCTGTTTGCATCCAACTGGGGACCGTCAATTCCAGCACCAGTTGATTTCTTACTTGGTAGTACAGCCTGACTTAGGGTAGAGCACAAGGCAGCAAATACACTCTCTCTTGGTTTTGTGCCTCTTGGTGACTGCAGCAACCTTTTCGGCTCAGGCTCCTCCTTTGAAACTAATTTGCGTTTTAACCGGAACTCCGCCAGTCCCTCATCTTCCTCAGATATATCAGACAGTTTTTTAGGGGGAGGCTTGTAATCCTCATCATCCTCATCATCTTCGTAGTCAACAAGTCCACTAGACCTTCATAAATAGATGTAGGATTGATTAATAAATACCTAGGATGGTGACAATTATTATTATTAAGTAGTGGAAAATAATACCTCAATGAAGGGTAGTTTGGAGCAGACCCATTAGCCAAGACAGGCTGAGATTGCACTCCGTTAGAGCTGGCCACTGACGCAGAATTTTCTTCATCGCTAATTAAATGCAGAATCGGTCATTATGTGGTATTTGAAACTTGAGATCCACCATTATACATTCCACGACTACTCAAAAAATAAATTGCAGCAACAAGCAAACACAAACCTGTCATTAAAGTAGTCTTCTTCTTCTTTCTCCAAAGCTCGCTCATCTGTCCGTTTCCTCTGGTCTAACAAACTAGCATTGCTTCTCATTCCAGCACTCTCTAGGGACTGCAAATTCATCTATCATGATCTAAACACAGAAGTTCAAATGCCATAAAACCTATAAAAGAAATAAAAAAAAAAAATACCTGCTCATATTTAACTTTTAGAGCTTGAATTGTAGACAGGTTCTCCAGTTTGACCAACTGATCCCAGAATGAATCAACTACATATCTAAGTAATATCTTCAAGTTCTCCTGCAAAACACATGTTTCAGGAAACACAATGGTAAAACATAGCTTGATGCATCCGTTATGCCATCTAAGGGACATCTGAAAGAGATAACCACCTTTCGGATATATTCAAAAAGTTCAAGTACGGCAGAGTTCAATAGATTGTATCGATCTCCATTACCAACAAATGCATCTACAATGGGTTTGAAAAGGTTGTTCTTCACAATGTGATCCATCAGATGCTCATCCTGCAATACATCACCAAACAAACAATGACTTGCATATCCAAAGGTATGGAGAACCAAGCTTATGCCTGCCATAGGATAGCTAGAATGAAAACATAAGGTTTCACAAGAATTATTCATTAAAAAAAAAAAATTCAAGGGGAGACACAGCCAAAGATCATGATCCACATACAAAAATAGCAGGTCAAAATACTTCACATGACCAATGCACCTCATTTCTTAAATGCACGTCATTCTTCCTTTGGGTGATCAGATACACAGAGAAATATGATAATAATCGATTGGAAAACATTATCCTCGAGGACCATAATTACATAAAATGCAGCAAATCAGGTAGAGTGAAGAGGGAAGATCTGCCAATTTATAATCAAGTGTGCACCAATTATAGGACAAAAACTTCAAATAGTTCCAAAGTAATGTTTCATTTTAATTTATCCAGAAGAGAACAGTTCAAATGCAAACTTCAGTTTATCTCTCGGATAGAAATCACGAGAATTTTATTTTTTCTCAAATTTTTCGTAGAGAGGTAAAGGACAGAACCAATTCCTATAATTATGAAACCCATATGAGATACAGAGGAATTCTCTGGAGTTTCAAAAAATAAATCAATCAACTTACACTGCGAGAAATAAGAGTCCTCACGAATCTAACGGCAGCAATTACAAGATACTTTTCCGGTCTTCTTGTCAAATACAAAACTTTATCGATCACTTTGTTAAGTAAAAAATTACATCTGCAGAACAACATGAAGCTAAAATTCAAAACGAATTCTGACGCAGCACTTCGCAACTGAAAAAAGTTAAATGAAGGGCGCCATGAAAATTACTTTATTCTGTAAGGATGGTGCAAAACACAGAAGCATAGAAGATCGCAAATGTTTAATAGTATTTCAGGCTTCACTCCACTTTGATCCCCAGTTCTTCCATCTGAGCTCACATGCTTGCTGCCTGTGTGAGCAGCATCATTTGGTGTGCATGATGATGTTATAGCATCAATTAATTGACCGAAGTGCTTCTCATAGAAAATTTCAACAATAGTATCTCTCTGCAAGAAAAATAAAATTATCAAATAAATGACGAGGACTGCATAAATTTGTAACTATGATAACAAAAAGAATGTCAATAACCTCCTCACATGCAAAGAAAATTATACTTCATTCCAAATATTACGTAAAGCCACATAGATGATCTTAAATCCATATGCTTCTGTAGATATAGTAACCCTAAAATGACCACCATCTTTTTGCAGTAACATTGAAAACTACAGCAAAGAAAACTGGAAAAATAACCTATGAACTCAAAACCAAGGTCTAATACCCATGGGAACATGCAACGAAATAAAAAGGCAAGGATGCACCATGCTCCTTAATAGCCTTTGGTCTCAATTTTAGTTTAATTTGAGTCATGGCCAAACAAGCTTGCTAGTTTAGCTGCCACCCCTTTCTCAGGGATATCCAAAAAACATGAAATGAAACAAACCGTGCCTCTCATCGTGAGAGAACTGTGAAGAAAAGATCATAAATTAAACAACAAAGTACAATCACCTGTGGCACTGATGTATATGAATCCAAAAGACTGCGAAGAATTTCAAGAAATTGGCAGTGCATATCATCTCCAAAATCTGTTAGCATATTTTTCACCTGCAAAGTAAGGCTTCACTCTTAAGTACTATTTTCAGACTAGAGATATGAGTAATAACAGTACACATAGCATCCCTCCCTAGACCATGTTCACACACACGCAGAGAGAGAGAGAGAACCATAAATTTTTGAAGCAGGCTTCCTTTCAAAGAAGAGAAATGAAGTCATATTAACCAGCTTGCAAAAGATACTGTAACTAAAACATCTTAGTGCTATCATGATTTCCCCTCACAAACATAACCATCCACACCACATTCTTCCTGCCCCCTAAAAGAAAGGCAGCAAGGTTGCAGAGATAAACTTGAAAAGCTCGTAATATATTTTTCTTGGCCATGGTTTTTCCCATCACGTCATCTACGAGAATATGATCTAAACATAGGAAACACAGGTACTTCCCCCTGCCAAAATGTTCTGCATCGGCCACGTCAGGTACATTGGGAAACACTCGCAAAATATTGCTGCCAATCTTCTAACTTCTCCCGGAGATGCTGGGGACTTGAGAATGTATTAACAAATATTCTAAGTACGCACTAGTACAGACAAGGATTACTTTTTTGGGATCCAAATGTAACTGTACTGAAAAATAGGTCAACTATAAGAAAAGGCAACAGCAAAGAGAGGGATTGTGCTGGGGACTTGAGAACGCGTTAACAAATATTCCAAGTACACACTAGTACAGACAAGGATTACTTTTTTGTGATCCAAATGTAACTGTAATGAAAAATAGGTCAACTATAAGAAAAGGCAATAGCAAAGAGAGGGATTGTCTACGAGTAAAGAACTTTGATGACCTCCATTTTTAAGCCACCTATAATGTGCTTTAATTAAATCCATCAACTGTTCCGTTTCCTCTTAATAAATAATCAAATTTGAGAGCACCAACTTAATTCTTAGGTTATCTTATTCTTAGAACTATCTGTATAACCGAGTTGATTTCTTAATGTTTCCAATCTTACAAATTACAAGAAAAAATTGGATGATATAACTATAAAAGATAATTTTTCTAATGCAACATGTCTTAGTGTGAGAAGTCCTACATTTTGGAAGATGATGTTGCATGTTCAGTTAATGTCATGTTTATGCCTGTACCCGTGATCGTGGTAGTGTACATACACATCTACACATAACGCAAAATTCAAGAGGTTTCCTAACATATCTCATGTCTGCCTCAAGGTAGCACCTAACTCCACTGATACACTAAAGGCAATTTATACACCATTACATGCGGCAATTGATCCGGAAGGCAATAGCTCGGATGTTCCCCTAACACAATAATTTTAAAAAAGTTGTCTTGAGAATGCTTGCAGCAGGAAAAGAGTATATAGAAGGAAAGACGTGTCCTAATACAAAACATCAAGTTGAAGGGGAGAAAAGCGAGAAGTGCACGTAAAAACTAAAATAGAAGCTAGAATCCAGTATTACTCACCAGAAGTCCAAAGAGAACACCTTCTTGCCTAGTTACATAAGAACGCAAAATACTTGCATCCTGATTCAAAAACAGAATGAGGATCTCTGTCCTGCATCGAATACAGAAAATTATTGTGAATATTTCAAATACTCAGGCCAAGTAAAGGTAAAATCTTTTAACTGTATATACTTAAATTTTTTGAATTATTTTATTACCCAGTCAACACAAGCTTTTTGTCTTCATTCTGCAAAACATCAGCTATGATGTCAAATATGCCTTCACTGACAAGATCCCTACAAGCATAAAAATACTCCAGTAACAAAGTAAAGAACATAAATAACATCAATTCATGCACACACGACTTTTTTTACATTTCACATCTCACACAGCAAAATTTGAACTTGTTGAGCAAGTTAAAAATCAATTTCCAAGTTAGGAAAAGATGTGACTATGCTGTAATATATATTAATTTTTTTACCAAAAAGAGAGCAAAATGGAAGGTACGACTTTAACCTACCTGAATAACCGGAGCTGCTGAACCATCTGCAAGCTCTTACTTAACGTACAAAACTCAT